GCCCTGGAGGATGCCAAATCTGCTAAGACCTCGACTGGGACCTCGCCGCGAAAACCCACTGTCTTGCTGCCCTGGACAGCCACTATGCCCCCGAAGCCGTTGGTAGACTGCCTGAGCTCTTCCAACGGAGGCAAGTCTTGTAGCCACTTGCTGGCGCTTCTGCGAACTCCATGCAGTGTGATGAGAATGCATCTGCCTACAGATGCGCCACAGGTCTTGACCTCTTTGTGGGGCAAAGCGAAAACCTCCTGGGCTGCAGCTGAGGTAACAAGTGCAACAGTTGGTGTAAAGCCTGGTGAACCCGGGGAGACAGTGAGCTCGAGCCCGGGTTCCCGTGGTGCTGGCGAAAGTAAAGTGGCTGCAGAAAGGAACGACCTACGCAGTTGAAGACCCATGTGCATGTGAAGCACAGTTTGACAGTCAGGGCTGCGCACTCCGACGCGGACATCCGATCCGACTGCAGGTAGTCTCGGATTGTCTGGCTAAGCTTAGCAATCCTGGCCTCGCCTGGGGATGCGAACAGAGCCTGGTTTTGGAAGCTCCATTCTATCCCGAGAAGGGTTTGCTGGCGGTCGGGAGGCTTCGACTTCTCTTCTTTCATGCGAAATCCGAGCATTCTGTGGAATGCCTGAAAGGCTGCAAAGGCTCTGCTCGCTGTGGCTGCTTGTTCTATGGAGAAAAAGTCGTCTACATAATGTGCTGCGAACATCAGTAGTAGCGCGATGCTCAGAAACGAGACCACGTCGGCTACCCGTAAGTACCCCCACACTGACCCAACCGAACCGAAAGGAAAGGAGAAATGCGACCATAGTGTGGGTGGGTCGCCCGGCAGCAAAAGGCCGCACTCGTGCGGGTCCCTGACTGTAATGGACCTATAGGCCCCTTCGTGGTCTATAGCTGACAAGACCGGAGGCGAACGGAAGTCTGTGCTGCACTGGAGCGCGCCGGCGACAACAGTGGGGGCCCCCAAATATGGAGGTGTGTCCACCGTTGAGCTCGATTCCTGCCCTGAGCGGTTCCAGGAAAGCCTGTACCTTACTCCTGTCCGCGAACAAGTGGTGAAGTACTCCCGGAACGTCAACTCCCCGTGCTTTAAAAAGCATGCGAACGACTGGGTGGACTGCGGCCTTGTCGCACATCTGGTCGAAGGAGAGGTGCGCGGCCATGACCTCTCTCCTACTGAGATGAGGACGAAGAAGAGTCTGACGCTTCCTTGGGAAGCTCTGGGGGCTCGAGCACCGAAACAACCGCAGCTTCGTCCGGAAAGCAGAGTGGGCAGTGGCGAAAACCTGGCAGGACTGTGGGGTTGCGCTGACAGCTAGCTTTCCCGTACTTCCAGCGACCGCACGCAGATCTCCACTCGCCCGAAGGCGTCGAACACTCTGTAGCACACGGCTTGTGCGCCAACTTGGACCTGACGTTATGTACAAGCACTCCTTGTCCTCGAAAGCAGTCTGCGACCACGGCGCGGACCTGGTCCAACGCTGCAGGCAGCAGCGGAAGAGCCTTAGTGTGTCCCGTCGAGCGCGAACTGGCAGGAAGAACTGCTGTCCTGTCGACGACGGCTCGCGCGACCTGTGTTGGATCTGCGAGTGCTGCTTCTTGAACGTAGCGGCAGATCGCAGCACTGCCCCACCTGCCAATGAGCATGATAATGTGCAACCCGACTCCCGAACGGGCAAACATCTGCGACCCCGCGACCCGGAAGGCATGTTGGGCCCAACGAAGGACCACTTGACGCGGCCACACGGCGACCTCTCCTCCGCAGAGGACCCAGGCAAAGACCCTCGCCAACCACGCGACCTGTGTCTTTGTTGGCGGGCCTTGACCGTCTCCGAAAAACGGCGCCTCAGCCTTCCACAAACCTGCTTGGCGCAGGCGAACTGAGCATCGCAATGCCGCATGATATGGGCACAGCGGGTGCATACCCTGCGAACACTCGCACTTCTGAAGAGGAGTAAAGAGCAGCGCCTCGTCGCCTGACCTATTGCAGCCTGGGTCGTGCGACCGAACGCATATGCAGTATGCATGCGTAACTTGGGTGACAGCCCCTGGCCGTGGGGTCCGTTTTTGAAACGGGAAGCTCGAGCTTAACCAATCCTTCTCGTGAGAAGGTGACGTCAGCGCACACAACAGACGCAATCTCCAGGCCTCGCAGAAGGAACCACGCGGCCACGATCCCCACGTCTGAAGGCGACTCGATCCTGGAGGCTGGGGGAACTTGCAATGTATGGTATATGCTCTCTCGATATCCTTAGCGAAACTGCGGGAGCACCTTTCCAATGGGAAATCGAGCTTGGCAGCTGACGGCCCCGTCCTACGAGTGATCGAGCGAACTGCTTGTGCGACCGCGTGGTCAAGTGCTGGAGACCAGTCGTATCCCTGGGACCGATGCTCAGACTTAGCCACGCTGTAATACTGCGCGGCCGACCTATAGCGACCTTGCTTAAAGAGGGCGCCGATCTTGTCGATGAGGTCGGTCGTGACCGGCAGTGGAGGCACCTCGCATCTCTCGGCGAACGCGCACCAGAGCTTCCAACGAGACTCTCTGGGGCCCCTGGAAGAGTTGGCATACCTATCTGCCTGAAACTCCACATCAGCTTGCGAAAGCGAACTCTCGTTCTGTAGAGCTTGTAGTGCAACCTGCTGCGACCCTCGCTGGTACGGGTGTACGACCGGTGCGTCTGAGCGAACCCGAGGCCTGGCCACTGACCTAAACAGTCTGTCGACCGCTTGATCGCCGATCCACTGCCGAAGCAGGCTTCTTGAAGTATTCTCGAGCTGCACTGCTGAGCGAACTCCCCTAGCCCGGAGAGGCTCAACAGAGCTGTGTAGATCAACAGCTCCCAAAACATGGACGAGACTCGCGAACGAGTTCCTATCGTGGGGGCACTGAATATGGTGCATGCTCTTCTCGAGGAAAAAGCGGCTACCGCCAAAGGTTGCGAACAGGGAGAAGAGCGACCGCTAGCATGAGAACACGACTTTGAGGGGGGGGGCCTAGCTTGGTTGTGAGGTTCCCTGGGCTCAGCGAACAGTGTTTGCACATGCACTGCTAGGCGGCCGAACTATGCGAGGCACTCTAGTTACGGGGCGAACGACGCCTGGGCCTGAGACCTTGCACGGCACTTGCGCGACACTGTAGTAACCGACCGCGAACGACTCGGCTCTGCACTCTAAGCCCTTGCACAGCACTCTAGTTACACCTGCCTCGGCCTACCCTGCGACCTTCCAGAGGACCCTTGCAGACAAAAACAAAGCTTGCAGCAACACTACCTAAACCTGCGACCTTGCCACTGCGAACTCTGACTCGCACTCTAGCACTGCAAAGACTGACATGGCTGAGGACCGCTGCGAAAAAGACTCTTTCTTGCATTATGCTGCGAACAGCTCCGGTGCATCCCCCGAAGGGTCGGTGCCCGAAGGCGCGAAAAGGTCCGAAGACTCTCTGCAAAACGGCCCCGCGAACTGCCTTGCTAACGCGCACAGAGGTAAAGCTATCAAAGGCTCTTAGCTGCGACCTACAGCTTCGAACATGCTAGGGCTCCGGCAGATCGCTGCGACCTAGGTGCGCCTCGAGTCGAGACGCTTCGCGTTCTCATGGCACTGCGGACACAGGTGGTGTTCGTGAGGCTTACGTTAACCTGGGTTGTTGCGCCTTGGACACTTCCGCAGCCAGCACGAAGGACAGCGAACAGCGCACATCGACACCGTATCGACGTACGGTGGCGGCTCGTCGCGAAACACTGTACCATCATCGACATCTGCTTGCGGCCATGGAGCTGGCAGGCCGATCGGCGCGAACTGGCCGCAAAGGATCGGCCCGGGGGGCCCGTGCTCCAAAGCGGCCTCCAAGTTGGGGAAGTCGACGGCCGGACGCGGACCACGTCGCTTCTGCGGGCGACGAGTCTGCGACCCTTGCGGGAAACTGCTGGCCTTTGGCTGCGAACTCGACCCCGAAGCTGCAGCCGAAGTGTCGGGCTGCGTGTCCCCATCTGCGTCCTGGCCGCCCTGTGCTGCGACCATCGAGTCCACTGCGACCTGCGACATCGCCTTCACTGGTGGTCCGCTAGGAGGATCAGCTGGAGCAGGTAGAGGTCGATCGTCGCGAACCGGCTCGAGGTCGCCATCCATAGCATCGAGGTCCACGACCACGGGCACGGTGGCGGCGGCCGATGCTGCATCAGCTGCGCGAAGAAGACCGATCGCATCCTCTCCGGTCAAGGGCGCCAGGTTCCCCGCGAACAAGTCCTGCATCTGCTTCGGGGTGGCCTTGAGCTTGGGCGCGACCTGGGCTTTCGGCGCTGTGGTAGTGTGCAGTCCAGGAGTTGGCGCGACCTCTGCTGTCTTCGGCGGCGGCGCAGTGCTTGCCTTGGCAGTAGCCTTCTTGCTCAGCGGACCCAAAGGCGGAGGGTCAGCTTTCGCGACCTCAGGACC